AAAGAAGTTCCATGAATATTGCTAATTTCTCTGGCTGTGAGGAAGGAGCCTGTCTTCATAATGGTCTTTAAATCTTTTTTAAGCCCCTGTTTGAAAGCTACTCCAGAATCACAAAGCCATAAAACAGACCAGGTGCTCTGTTTCCTCATTGCATGTTCCCTGCCTCTGCTCCACTCTTTGCTGTGCCCTTCACCTGCTGTTTGCCAGCTCAAACACACGCAAGTTTATCACCTTGTCCTTACACGCCAGGTTTCCTCACTGCTTATCAGCCTTTCTCTCCCTCCTGGGTTCTCCTCAGTCCATGCTTAGAGCTGAATGCTGTCAAAATCTGATACATTCAGGGTTCTTTTCATTTTCCAGCTGTATTCCTTATTCAGTTCTCTCATTTTTGTTTTTTCCCCAGGTAACATTCTAATGGGTTGAAAAAAGTTTTGAGCTCTTTTTCATCCAAGAGGACAAACAGATATAATGTTGGTAGTCATTCTGTTAACTAATATGACACTTTTTTCTTGAAAAGGACTAACTGCACAGAACTTTGTGAACTACAGCCAGGTTACTTCTGAGAGGGTGACATTCAGCTGTGCTTTCTGCTTGTGTGAATGTCGCTTTTGCTGTGTGGAAGGTTCAAGTACAACAGTTAGAAATAGGTATTGAGGTACTTTGGAATGTTGTCACATTTCAAGGGGTGAATAAATTTTTAGTCTAAATCACTGCCATTTAATTCATCCTGGTTGAAGGAGTTCTGTAACTCTAACTTGGGATGTATTCTTAGCAAAGAGAAATAAAGGCGGGAAATATGAAAATACTGATCACAGATTTCTGCCATATCAGTACAAGAGCTGGAAATAGTATGTATGAGCTTCTTGTCTACCATTTTTGTCATGCTGGGGTTAAGTAAAATGCTTACAATTATTATGTTCTTGCAGCTATGCTGACTTTAGTGTGGCACAAATAACTCATTAAATATGTTCTTTTCAGACCTTGTCAGGTAGTTTATTTTATGGTGGACTTACCTTCAAAACCCAGGAGTTTTGTTTAACTCAGCTGACATACCAGCTGTCAAGTCAACCATGTGCTCAGTTAAGGGAATGTAGTACCAGGCAAGCAAGGAAGGGATTACTTGTCTTGAGAAGGAAAAAAAAATCAAACTGTGCTAAGGCCTTTTGAGCACCCATAAAGTATTTTGCAAAGAAGGGGGCAGCAAAAGAATGAAAGGGAATAGAGTGCAAGACAAAAGTTCTTGAAGCATAAAATGGCCCAGCAGGCTGAGAGACAGCACATGTTACTGGAGGAGATGATAGTCACTGGCTGTACAGCACTGCAGTCAGTGAACAGCAGCACAGAAACGGGATTCTCTGTCCTGCCTCGGTGATGTTTGGGTCCTTCCCTCTCATCATGTTTATATTTGCACTTGGCCTTCCTCACAAATCTTCACATGAACAGCTCAAGTTACTAAACCTGTGCAAGCTTGACAAATGTTTACAGGGTTATGTAGAACTCAGACTTCAAACAATAAAATAAGAACCCTTGAGGGTTAACATGTTTTAGTATGTTTTCATTAGTGCTTCAGATTTTGTACATTTGAGACTTCTTACGTGGTGTCAAATTCTGTGTACGTTAGCAGTCCCTTCATGCAGTTTTTGAAATTCTGTAGATTAGTATTTTATGAATATGCACTTGTTATCTTCCTCTGATGTTCTCTGAAACTGTTTAGCTGGCACTGGTAACAACATTGAGTGGTATTTATAGCTTTGTTTGTCTTGCTCTCTCCTGGAAAGACTAATCTCTTAAACATTTCATTCCAGTACCTCAGATTAATTTTCCACAAATCAACCTCAAGCAAATTCTAGTGCAGACATTCTTACATTGCAGGAAGTATCCCAGCTCAGATAAAAATGTTGTATAGATAGGACAAAGGGCAAGGGACAGTCATCTTTTTGCAAATCAGCAAGATAGCAGCAACCATCATCAAAAAGAAAAATACATTGCAATAAGGTAGAAAAATAACCATCTACCTACTCCACTTACTGTTCCTTTAATAAGTTTAAATAGCTTCTTGAAATCTGAATATGACTTGTAATTTTTAACATCTATTTATTTTAATTTTGTTTTCTCTAAGTAACTGCAACAGAGAACTTTACTAATCAGTCCTGAAGTGACTTTGTTTTATTATCCCCTTTGCAGTCTAGGGTTACCCATGTTTTATGTTTCCTTCCTGCAACTCCACTTGTCCACATTCAAGCCTTGTTCCTTCCCACAGATACTAAAGAACAGTTTGATTCTTCTGTCTTTACTGTGTATTCACCATTATTTTGTAGTACCAAGGTAACTGCAGCACCCAGAGGCAAGGACGGTAGAAATCTGAGCTGGGGAGCCAGCCTGGGCCCAGGCAGAGGAACGTAAGCTTTAGGCAGTGGGGTATTTCACTGCAGTGATCAGCATAGGACACTGTTACACACTGCAGTGATCAGCATTAGACACTGTTACACACTGAGGGCACAGTTACACACTGCAGTGATCAGCATAGGACACTGTTACACACTGCAGTGATCAGCATTAGACACTGTTACACACTGAGGGCACAGTTACACACTGCAGTGATCAGTATTAGACACTGTTACACACTGCAGTGATCAGCATTAGACACTGTTACACACTGAGGGCACAGTTACACACTGCAGTGATCAGCATTAGACACTGTTACACACTGCAGTGA